AAGTGTCTGGATGTGTGATGGTCATATTGGTAAGTAAATATCTCACTTATAACTTATGAACTATAATATTTACGTTTACTAAATACTTGTTTATAACAATTTTTTTGTCTTCAACAATATTGGATATGCGAACACACAAGCACCATCAAATCCAATGCCAAAAATGCAATCTCAAGATTTGCTAAATGAAACACCACATGTTTGGGACAGAAATTGGCAAGTTCATCCTTGCAAGAGCTAAAAGATATTGTAGTATGCAATGCTAACCTTTGTTTTGTTTAAACAAATGATAGATTTTCTTATGCAGTGATAAATTTTTGTTCACACTGATATATTTATTTAATTTGCCTAATTAAGTGATAAATTTCCCTTAGTATACCTTGAATGTTTTTCTATTTGTCTACTGTGCATGAGTTTTGTTTAATATTTACTTTCTTTGTGTTACTTTATATTCGACTAGAATTGATTAGGCTTATGTATTGATAAATTTATCCGTAAAAATGAATTGAATTAGACATTTTGTCTTATATTTACTTTTTTAGCTTACTTTTGCTAATTCAGTGATAAAATTTGATATACAATGACAGATTTGCTTACTATGCCCAGTTCACTGATAAAATTTGCTATAACAATCATAGATTTCTTTAATTTTCCTAATTGAGTGATAAAATTTGCTATGAGAAATTTATCTCTGAAATTTGTATCATATCATTCATTTTTTTTATTTTCATCTATATAGGAGAATAATTTGAAGCACACAGATGAAGAGAAAAAAATACTGAATGCTGCTACGAGAAATTCAGGATAAAGATGAAAATGAAGATGAAGATGAAGATGAAGATGCTGATTTTCAGCAACAAAATTAGGCTGAAATTTCTGAAATAGAAGAGCAAACATTGACTGAAGACAAATCCAAACATAAAACATGGGAACCAATTCCACACAAAATATGCCCTGAAAAGAAAAAAAAAACAGTACCCTTTGAATCACAAAAGAGTGAAGGAAACAAAGTTGACAAAGAGCCTGAAGTGGATCCAAATCTGGTAGAAGTACTTGTTTTTGAGAGGATAGAAGACGACATACTCAAAATGGAAAAGTTAAAAATGGAAAGGGACATCCTTCAAACTGCAAATGATAACCTGCAGTAGCAACTCAACAAGTTGAAAAAGGAAATGCAAGAACAGCACAAAAAACAAATGCAACGGAAAGATGAAGAAATCAAAATATTCCATGAGAGAATTGCAACATTGGCTGAGGCAACCAAGTACTCGGAAGAACAACACACACAACAGCAGCCTGCAATCAAGAAATTGAAAACTTCAAACGAAATTTTCAACATCCTACCAGAAAAATCAAGGCAAAATCTCATTGCACATTGGGCAAATACAAAAAACAAAGTAACAATCTTCTCTCTTGACTCATGTAGTTCACTTTTGCCGACTGTTTATCATTAACTCATATTGAATTTATAAGTATCAAATATTCCAAAAATATTAATAAATTTATTATTCCAACACTAATAACCTTTTTTTCAAGGATCAGCCAGTGTGGCAAGGATCTCACCATGGAACCTATGTCTACTTAAATGACATTGACAAAATATTGAAGGGTCAAGATTTGGCAAGCATTGTAAGTTGAATTTGTAACTCATTAAAATAACATTTTAATGTTTGATATATTAATTCCTTGTTTTGTTTTTTGTTTTCAACACAGGTAATAGATGCATATGCAGAACATTTGATTGCACAAAAACAAGGCACAACATCATTCGTATTCATTTCAAGTTGCCATGTAAGTAACTAGTTTGCTTAACTGAGGAACAACACTTGTTTTGTTTCTTATCAGTGTATAACCTCTGTTTGCTTAACTGAGTAACTATTTTGACCTTGTTATTGTGGCGCCACAGTATGAGTAAATTCCATACTTTGATTAAAAACTCTGGGAACTTTTTGGGTTTTCAAAACTAGTACATATGATATTGAGAACTTCAACAAATATTGAGATGTGTTGAAATTAAAATAGCTTGATTATATGCTATGATGTTGCAGGACATAGTTCACTTTCATTTTGTTAGTGGTGAAGCCTCATAGAGCTCTTGTTTGATGTAATTTATTAAGTAACAGACAACTTTCATTATAACTATGGAATGGAGAGAATCATGATATATATCTATATATATATTAGTAGATGTGCACACTCACATGAGTATATTTCAAATAAGCAATATGGATATATAGCCTGTTACAGATCACCTATGAATATTTACATAATGAAAGAGAAGCATAGTATAAATATATTAGGGGACATAAAGATCCATTTCACATGGAGGAGAAAAAAAGCCCTCAAGACACCAATAGATGTGTTTCCTTAATATGTAGTATACATGAATTTTGCAATGCACTGATACATTTTGATATGGATTGATAAAAATTTTGATCACAGTGACAAAAAGTTTCATACTCACCATCTATTTAATTTGAAAAAGTTTAAAGTTAAATTAACATTATTTTTTTATTATTTATATTTGTTAGCACTTGTTCACTACAAAAGATGAGGAAGCAAGACAAAGAATGCTGAACAAAATGATGCCAGAAGCCATGAAAGCAAGATGCATTCTCTTTCCAATCCACCAAAATTTTCACTGTACAATACTTGTCCTTGACATTGAAGAAGCTACATGGAAATTCTACAATTCGATGAGACCAAGGGGAACAATGACTAAAGATCCACACTTCAATGCTGCAAATGAAGTGGTAAAAATCTTTTCACTATCAAACTTACCATTAATCTAATACACAAATCCTGATCCATGCTTAATTATACATAAAAAATTTATACAGTAATATATTTATCATTCTTTAAATCCATGGTTTCTCATTAATTGTTTCAACTGACTTTCTAATACAACAATCATACAAATGTATACGTTGCAGAGAGAGATTATTCAAAAATACATAAAGGATGAGTACCCAACTCTCATTCAACCTGATAAGTTTCAACAGCAGACAGAGAACGTCATCAACACACCATAACAAGAAGACACATTATAAGTTTATCAATAACAAAACAATGCTATTAAAAAAAAAAAAAAAAAGAAGCAACAAAACCAAATTATAATATTTTGTTTTCAAAATATTTTTGTAGGCTTGATTGCGGAATCCTTGTTTGTTACATCATAAGGCAATATGTTTCCAATAACAACATAATGCATACTTTTTCCAAGGAACAATGCAATCAATTGAGAGCTGATATGTTAAGTATCTTCTTGACTGACCAACAAGTTGCTCAACGAAAAATACCTGGTGAAAACATTGATGACTTGCATCTGCAATAATCAACAAATCTGGAATAGAAGAAAAGGAAACACTGATTCATTTGGTTGTTAAAATGTCAATACTTCATACATTTTGCTTGTTTGCTTGTTACAGTGTTACCTGTATTTTGATGATTTTGGTTCTTCCTTTCCTCCAATGAATGTTACAATGCTTCGTTGTTACAATGTCAAAGTTATGGATGGTACTTGGTTATTACAATGTCAAAGTTATGGACAATGCTTGCTTGTTACAATCTCAAATTTGCTTCAATGAAACATTCAGTCTTTTTTAGCCATATCGTTACTAGACCTAGCTTTTCATATCAGTATCCAAATTTCATTCAAAAAATTTATTTGAATCTGAGTATTTGTGTTGAATTTAAAGGTTAATAACAGGTTTGGAGTCACTATACTGATAAATTTATTTTTTATAGTGTTTTGTTTACCCTGATAAATTTATCACTGTTTCAACAAATTTATTACTATAAACACTGATAAATTTACCAATGTTCAAACAAAAAAACCAGCGACTCTCTCTCTCTCTCTCTCTCTCTCTCTCTCATTCTTTCTCCCAAATTCAAGTAAACAAAACGCTATAAAAAATAATAAAAAATTTACCTAATTGAAAATTAAAACACAAGCACTATTACATTGCCCAAATTAGAAATTAAAATACTGTTAAAATTTGTAGATATTCCCAACTTTGAGAATGAATGTAAGAACATGACATCCTTGGTGATTTCTCAATAATCAAAACCATTTGATACTTCAGTTAAACAACTTAAACATCCAAAGCTAGCTTCTGAGTGACCACAAAACAGTATGCAGACTGAGGCCCCGTTTGGGGACTTACTTTTTTAGCTAATTAGCTAAAAAACTACTAAATTAGTCAAAAAGTCAACAACTCATACCAAAAAGTCAAAGATTTTCTTTTTTCTTTACTTTTTGCACATCTTTTCGTAATTAGTCAAAAAGTCATCCCAAACATACAAGTTTTTTTTACCTACCTTTTTAGCCAAATAGCCAAAAAGTTACTAAATTAGCCTGTTCCCAAATGAGGCCTGAGAACTTGTTGCTAAACCAGATAAACATGGCAGTTGATCTACAATTTTTTACTTTTTAAAGCAGTTAACACAGCAGATATGCAATTATGTATTCTAGAGATTTGATCTACACCTTTGTATTGTAGAAATTTTTCCTGGAAAAACTAGATAACTCCAGACAATGATAAATTTATCACTGTAGGAAAGAACATTTGCTTGGATATGACAGTGATAAATTTATCAACCACTGACATAAATGTAATAAACCATCAACTCTTCCCACACAATAAGTGATAAATTTATCATTCTTCAAAATAACAAAATTCAAGAACCACATTAATAGTACATTTATCATTCTTATAAAAAAATAATCCATCAACTTGTCCAAACCAACCAATGATAAATTTATCACTTTATAAAACACCAAAAAAAAGCAACTACATTTAACCAAAATCAAATAATATAAATCTGTGAAATTTAATCCTGTAAAAATATCAGCAAAAAATATAATTTTTGATCAACAAATTCCTCAATCATTCAATGCGAGTACCAAAATGATACATCTTTCAAAAAATACTTAATCATTCAATGCAAGTAACACCTCTCAACTCTCAAACAAAGTAATTCAATTAAAATCAATACAACTAAAGCAAAGCTTGTTTACATGTCTTCTGATTATGAGTTCTCATCTTTTCACACCTACTGTATCTAATTCTCTTGATTTCACCCTTAGAAGGTATTCTCTCCGTTCTTGGACGTCCAGCTGGTCTCTTACAAAGAGGAGGTAAAACAACGTCATCATCAACAACTACATTTGGCTTCCACATACTAGGAACTGGATAGATAGAATGTGAATAAGAATCACAATAACTACTAACACAGTAGTAATCATCAAGAAAGCAATTCAAATCCTTCTCACTCCTCTTTATAGCATAAAAACCATGTTTGCAAGGCAAACAATCAATTTCCCACAATCGACAAGAACAACAACGTTTCCCAATATCAATCATAACTAAATGATCCAATTGGATTTCATAAATGTCATCGCTACATTTCTTAACTATTCATGCTTTTGTATCATTAAAAACTTCTTCCAACTTTTTCTCTACAAAAGGACAAACAATACGATTCCACTTATTCCCAAATTCTCTCCTTCTTGAAAATTGCTCCATTAGTTTCACCCGTATAACATCAACAAGACTAGTTAAAAACAAATGGCATTCATCCCTAATCCATGAATTAAAAGATTTCGCAGCATTTGTGCACATTTCACCATACCTCTTGCCTTGAAAATAAGCGTTACACCAACACTCATTAGGCAAATTCTCAAGAAACTTCTCAACACTACGACCACAACGACCCTTAAATTCTTCAAATAACTCATTAAACAACTCAATAGTAGGAGCATATGCACATCTACTAAAACGAGTAAGCAAATACTCTTTAGATTCACGATTTTTCACTGACAAATAAGTCTTCAAGTTTGTCTTCAAATGCAATAGACAAAAAGAATGAGAAGAAAATGGAAAGACCTCAGCTAAAGCTTTCAGCAAACCTCCATGTCGATCAGTAACAAACGCAATATCCTCTCCGAAGTCAAAATACCTAATAACTTTGACAAGAACCAATGCCAACTGTCATAACTTTTACTATCAACAATAGCAAAACATAACGGATATAAACCTACAAACAAAATATATATACACGTTATCAGTAACAAATAAAAAAATTACAAAAAGAAAATCAAAACACAAAGTATATGACATATAGCACCAGCCATAGATAAATTTATCACTGTATAAATATAAAAATTTAACAAAAGTATACAACATAAATTTATCACTAATAGATTGACCATACTCAATAATCAGCACTATCCAGTAACAAAAATGACAAAATTATCACTGTTTTAATAATAATAACACATAGACACAAAATATACCTTGGTTACCATCTTTTGCCGTAGCAGCCAATAAACAACCTTTGTGTCTTCCTTTCAAGAAAGTTCCATCAAGCATCAACACAGGCCTACAATACTTGAAACCAAGAATACATGCCTCAAAAGCAAAAAACAAGCATTTGAAATGTCTTCCTTTACTATTAATATCAAATTCCATATCAAAAACACTACCCGGATTGCAAGCATTAGCAGCATCAACATACCAACGAAGATCATCAAATGATGATGAATAGTCACCAAAAACAAGACCCCTTACTTTTTCAACACCCATCCAAGCTCGTCGATAAGAAACTTCTGTTCCATAATAGTCCTTGAAATCACAAACCACCTCACTAACCGATGCCAAAGCCTTATTACGAATATCACTTGAAATTAGCTCACCAATCATACTTAAAGTCATCCTAGCATGTTTAATTGTACGAAAAGAAGATCCACAAGTGTGAACATCATCAAATTGTTTAATAACAAAAGCTTTACTATAATTTTCCACTCTAGCATGCACGCTCCATAAACATCCCAAATCAGCCCTTCTCTTACAATGAACAGTGACACGATCCTTATCATTCTTAACAAAATCAAAATTAAAACCGAAATGAATAGAATACTTTGACAACGCATCTAGAAATTGAACAACTCCTTGAGCAAACCTTTGTCCTACTCCTTTAATACAATTAACCCACCCATCAGAGAGTAAAGGTTTCCGTTGATTTGAATAAAATGAAGGCAAAAAATCAGTTTCACAAACAACACTACTACTACTACTACTAGCTTCACCATCACAAATCATATAACCTTCACCCAAAGAACAACACTTTACAAAAACATCAATACGATGAATATCACAAGAAAGTGCCAGTCCAACCATAACCTCCAAATCCTCTTCACTTTGTAGACCACAAGAAGAATGTCCAGCCATTGAATATGATATATTCAAAGAACTACCAACTAACTCACTCCACTTTGCACCGGATTGGAACCAATCCGAACCGTATACAAATAGTCTATATTTTTATTATAACAATTTATATACTAAATCCTTGAGATTAAATCCATCATTATACTTGATAACCAATATCACACCTCTAAACTTGCACATAAGAAACAAACAATTCTCCATCACTATAAATCCTGCAACAAACAACAATTATATTTCAATAAACAACTCAAACACCCTAAAACAAAATCAAATACAGTGATAAAATTATCAACCAACTCAAACACATCTAAAAACCAACACTCATAACTTTAACAGTTAACACCACCAAAGACCAAGAACAGTGAATAAGGCTTACACTTATTAGACTTGGTAACTCAATTTGAATCTTACATTATGCAACCTTTTCATCTCCTATTCCTATACTCACTCATAAATTTATCACTGTTGAAAAAGTTAATCCAACATCACCCCCAAAATACACAATGATAAAATTATTACTGTATAAAATAACAAACCAACACCTGTGTTCAATCAACACAATTTCGTAATCAAAAAAAATAAAAAACTATAATTTAATCAACAAATACATATCTCAAAACTTTCAATATCATGATCAAAACACAAATTCAATCGCAACAGAAACAACAGAGTAACAATAATATCACCACAAAATCAAAATCACAAACTCAAACTAAAAAGAACCAAAACATTGAAATTGAAATCAAAATCAAACATACCAGTCGACCTAACTACACAACACCGCAAATCACAAAATGTAACTATACACCAAACGTGAAATCACAAATAGGAAGAATCACCAAGCACGCAATCGCAAATCACAAATCGCGAAGATACACCAAGCGCGAAATCAGAAATCACGAAGCTCCACAATAATATAGCAGCAAATCGTGAAGTACCACAGAAATCCAAATCACAAACACAATATTTTGATAGAAAATCCAAACAGAAACGCGCCAGAACAGGGGAGGGGTAAAACGGTACAAAAACAAAAAGACTCAGGACCTGTTGGTGCACAAGATCAAAAATCAGGACTAAGAGGGGAATAAGTGTAAAACTCAAGACCGGCTAGTAAAAAACCATAATGATTATGGGTTGGATGTGATATTTTTATTTTTTGTGGCTAAAATAGCCTATTTTGTTTTTTGTGGCTAAAATAGCCAAAAAAGTTAACTTTAGCTCTTCGCAAACGGTGCCATAGTACTTCTGCATATGTATTGGATACATAAAACACGTACTCAAATTTTTTCTTCTTAATTTTTAGCTTATTTAGACGTACCTAATATATGCTCAATCGAAACAATATTTTTTTCTATTATAACAATGAAATTTCTTTAACTAGATTTCTTTTTTATTTTTAATTTTATACTTAGTATGATTTTAAAATTAAGTTATGATTTATTAATTATTTAATTTAATGACATTTAATTTTGGTTTATATCTTTATTTTTTACATTAACTATTAATTATAGATTGAATCTTAACAAATTAAACTATTTAATTAATTTTTACATTACTCTAAATTAAAAATAAATATTTCTTTATAAAGGTACCAAGCCGTGCCCACACTTTTTTAAAATTTTTCTGTATTAACATACCTGTATCATATTATTACTAGTACTTGTATCTATACCCATATTTCATAGGTTATAAATATGGCTTTGAACTTGACACACACAAAAAAGTGCAGAGAAAAGTCACGTTTTTTATTTACTTGTGTTTGTCCTGTGCATTTGTTTTTTGCATTCCTAGTTTCTGACAATACCAATTTGTTTGTTTCTTTCACCAAAATTCACTGCCTCTATTTAGGTGTCGTTTTGGGTAAATTTTTTAATTTTTTGATTTTTTTATCCAACTCAAACTTTATTGTTTAACAATGTGAGAGAAGAGTGTAATGATTATGAGTTGGATAGGAAGTTTTATTTTTTATGATTAAAATAATATATTTTGTCTTTTGTGACTAAAATAACTAAAAAAATTCCAAATAACTGTTCTCAAACGGAGCCCATGATTCATAGATTTCTAAAATGATTTTGCTTCAATAAAAAATCAGATCCAGATATGAAATCCATGGTGATCCTTGAGATCTGTTAGAATCCATTACTGAACTGCCATTCGCCGAGCATTGCTGCTTTTTCTCCACTCAATAGGCACTGAGACTAAGATTCTTAACCTTCTTTGTCATCAATTTTATTCCATTCCACCACTGAAAAATGTTGTTGACACCAAATAAAAAGGCAGAGAGAGATACGGATGTTCTTCGTGTGAATGCTTCATTTCAATTCTGTTCCATGTGACAGTAATAACTTTTGAGTTTGAGTTTGAGTTCGATTTTAATTCTAACTTTCTTTTTTTCTTTTTCTTTTTTTAAATGGCCTTCAGATTCCAGGAAAAGAGAAGCAAAAGTTCATATCTTCAAGAAAAGTGCAATACACTTTTTCAATTTGGGGGTTATTCACATTCAAAATGAAGAGCCACATCATAGGAAGGACCAAGTGAGAATAGACAGATTCTAGAATTAACTACATTGATACTTTTTTAATTATTAGCAAATATTATTTTGCTTTTTTATTTTTGAACTTGTAAAATAGTGAAAGTAATACAATTTTTATAGGTGAAGGGATTAAAATATATAAATTCATAAATGAAGAGATAAAATGATATTTGTTAATAATTAAAGGATTTTGATGAAAATAATTCCATATTCTATCAAAGTATAAATATGACTAAGGGTGAGTATCATGCCGTGTTGGGTCGTGTTCATATCTTGTCAGAATAATCTCAACACTTACCCAACTCGTTTATTATTTTGTGTTATCATGTCGTGTCATTTTCGATCTGTGTCCGGTTCATGTCGTGTTAACTTATCATGTCAAAAATTTGTACTATTAGCTAAAAATATGAAATGTGTGAAACAAATTTAAAAATTTATTCACAAGTTAGTTTGAGATATTCTAAATAAGTACATTTTTTGACTTTTTATAAAACAACAATGATTCATCCTCCCTTTTTCCCCCACCTCCTTTGACCCCTCTCTCTCTCATTGGTTACATTCTCTTTTTCTTTTTCTTTTTTTTCCTGCTCCTCTAATCACCACCCGCCACGTGGCAAAGGGGGGTGAGGGGGTGACCCCCAAAAGGGGGTCCCAAGCATTATTCTTTATAAAAAGATGTGTAGAAAAGTAGAGAGGAGATGTTGATTGATGTGACCCAAAAAAGATAAAAAGATAAAAATATGAACTAAAATAGTGTATGCCAAACAACTCATTAATTAAAATAATCTCTATTTACTTTTAACTTAATTTAATTTGTTAATTTATAAATATTATATTTTATTATTATATTTTTTACTAGATTAACACAAATAATAGACAAAAAATACATTAAATTCAATTAAAAGCAAAAACAAAACTTATATTAAACTTAAAGTCATAATGGTTGTAATTATGTAAAAGATTAAAAAATGTCATAATATTCTTTAGTGAAAATAATATTATAATATATAACTAAGTCTTCATTGTACGGATTATCTGTGATAATTTCGTGTTATACAAATTTAATATTAACTCAACTTGTTTAATATTCGTGTTATCGGATCGTATCATATACATGTTCGTGTCAAGAAATAATTAATTCCAACTTACTAATTTTATATTTAATTCAAATCATATTATCGTGTTCTATCACAAATTTCGACCCTGAAATATGACTATAGCCCACTTGATTCATTATATTTATATACCATATGTGGGGATGTATTTTCTGAATACCAACACGTGGCAAGGTGACGCCGACGTGTCAGCCGAAGTGCCACGTGTCCTGGTTGTGACGCCGAGGTTATCTCGGCGAGGCCGAGGTTATCTCCAAAGATATCGGAATCCGAGATAAGCGGATAATGGATAAAGGGCAAGAGTCCTAGAGTTAAAAAAAGACTTTGCTAAGACAAGGATAAAACTCTTAGGGAGTTTATCTTTATCTCTTGAAGAAATCCAAAGTAAGTACAGAATTGGAGTCCATAGAAGTCAAGCTTCTAGTGGGACTAGAATTGAGTAAACTATAAAAAAGAGGCACCCCCGTGGGTCTAAGGTACGTAGTTTTATGCTTTGAGTAGTGAGTTTAGCACTTGATTATCTTTGAGAGATATACTGACTTGATCGTCGGAGTGCCCCCGGGTGGAAGAGCCACCGCCGGAGCCTTTTCTTTCTGTTACAGGTTTGCTGAAGCCATCTATTCTGCCGGTGCTCTCTAGCTGATTACTAGGCGGGCAGTGTGGTAAGAAAATCACCCACACAATTTGGCGCCGTCTGTGGGAAACTTAGAAGAATAGATGGCCAATAACGGACAGAAGGAAAACATTGGGGGCGACACTCCTGCTGGGAGTGGCAGACCAATTGACCTTGACATTCAAGGAGACAACCACAATGCAGAAACTCATGACCAGAGCCACGGTGAAAAAGACATCGGCCAGGAGGGCGGTACTTCGAAGAGAACAGGCCAAGGCAAGTACTATCACGAAGACAACCTTTACGTATGGAGGGAGAGGTGCCTACAGAGGGACGATGAAGTAAAAGAATTGGCGAACAAGTTGGCAGACCTTCAGTCGGTCGTCAACTTCATGATGCAAAATAATGTCATGCAGCCACCATACCCGCTGCAGGATACGTCGATGCCCGCAACTAATACACAGAAGGGGAGAAGAAGAGCAATCCCCGAAGTCCCTCAGCACACCAGGAGTGGAAGGCACTCTCACCGACCTTCCAGGGAAGTCGGACGAGAGGAGCCAAGACGAGAAGAGTCCCGAAGGACGTATCAGACGATGGACCAAGAGCCCAAAGAACATCGGCATGTTCAAGGGCAAGCGCTCTGCTTTGACACCACACATAGAGAGAGGTCCAAACGAGCCCACCACGAGGCTGAAAGTAGTGTGCCAAAAAGATTGAAGTCCAAAGATAGCCGAGCTCCAGGGAGGAGTAAAGAAGACTTGAAAGATTACCTGAAAAGGAAACAACAGAATGCTGAAGCCGAGGTAACTTCCCCGGTTAAGCTGAAGACACCATTCTCGGTGGAATTGGACAAATTTCAAGCACCAAAGCGATTCAGTATGCCGAGGTTCCAAATATATGATGGTAAGTCAGATCCGAACTTCCACGTCGGGCTATACTTGAATTCGATGGCAT